AAAAAAAAAAAGAGAAGAAGAAGAAGATCGCGACAAGGAACACTTTGAAGTGAAGCAGAACTGTTACCTAAGGATAGTTCCTGTGAAAATATGTCGGAAGGAAGGATAGACGAGCAAACGAGAGGAAATAGTTAATTGCAGAGAAACAAAGAAAACTGAAACAAAGCGTGGCAGGCAGAGAAATGACTGCCAGAAAAAGGAAATCAAAATTATTTCGAGAAAGCTGGAGACGTTGTATAAGTTCGAAAAAGGGGGGCTTCGGAAGTCTTGGAATAGATTTACAGGAAGATCTCCCAATCGGGATGCGAACGCTCATTTCGCCTAGTCGGTTACCCATCTAATGTAAGAGTTCTCCTTGGCCCCGTCTCCCAGTGTAAGGTCCAAGCTCCTATACGTGTGGGCAGAGTGGGGGACTTAACCATCTCGTAGGTCAACCTGCCGCCTATACTGTTACACGATTACATTACTAGTATACCGTTCACTGTAGACGAATATACGATACGATAGAGGCCCAAACGTTATTTGCGTTACTTACACCAATTCAAATAAAAAGTACATCCCCAGGACACGATTGATTTCTTGACTGCGAGTGGGGAACATGATGAAAATACGAGTGAGAGGATGGACCTTTTTCACCCTAGGTTCCATTAAAGTACATATTTTACAAATGTACCCGCCAAAGAGTAGTAAAGTTGTCATGCCCAAACATACAGCAAATCCCTTCTAACACGAAGCCCAGCATAACCTTTGAAGTGACTATGAAATAGACGAAATTTGGTAAACTTGTAGAAACAGCGGTCACCAACGGTGATTTTAATAGGAGCTAGTAAAGCTCAACTGAACACTTAGTAAAATTTTATAAACCGCTAGCAATAATTAAAGTCAAAAATTAAGTTCATTGCCCTATCTTTATAGAGGAACCACTAATAATATCGATAAATGGAAATTAAAGCACAGTAACACAGAGGATGTGCGCAAGGAAACGCGCTCCATTAACACCGCAACGCAGCCGCACCGCGTTTGTCACGTCATCACTAATAATTAGTTCGGGTGTTTGAGCTCATTCCCAGACTTCTTTGAAAATGAAGGAAATGGCTATTAGAGTTCGATCGAATCTTGTAGGTTATACTGCTTAAAACATGTGGTTGTGGGCTGAAACCAGGGTTAATTTCGATTAATCTTTAGATTTACTCGGAGTTTTAAAACCATTTGATTTATGCGGGTAAAATAAAACGAAATTCCTTTTCAAAGTACTGAGGTATATAAATTGCCGAGAATATCTTTCCTTCCCCCTTCCATTTCTGGGTAATGAAACACCTTGGACTGAAACAAGTTTAGGAAGGTAACCGGTTGTCCGGGATCGTGAATTTCATGGTAAGCAGTAATGTAAGTAAGTAAGGAAATACATGTTTCTAGTACAAGAGATAGTGACTGAAGTTAAATAAAAGAATATAGTATGAAATAACTACTTTGACCGGCGTTAGTAAAGAACGGACGAGAGGTGAATGCTCAAAGTAGGTCACCAAAGTAGTGCAAAGAGGAGGATGGTGTGACGGGAAATTCCATTCAATAGATTGAGAGTATAGACATTTGTTCAGAATACCAGTCAAGGGCACTTACTGTTACGACATTTAACAAGTAAGACCGCTTGACGTTATGGTTTCAGGAAACATTTTGTACGAATCATCGTCGTCAATACGACCTTTTTTGTCTGTCTCCGTTCAATGACGTTTGCTTGCCGTCGAGCAGCATCCGAAATATCGAGTAGTCAAACAAATCGATATCGCCTTCTGAAGGGTGGGAAAGATGGGCTCCTGGT